CAGAGCACACAGGCAAACTGACCGATCAGAGCACCCTAGCACTGTGTTCTAACTTTGCACGATACAGCACCGCAGCACGCAATCGCAGTCTTTTGGAGAGGGTGCTCGCTGCAGAGCCATTTGGGGGGAGGTGGGCTCCAGAGAGGGGGAGCATGAGCTGTCGCTCCTCCTCCTGTAAGCTGTTTTAATGCGTACACCAACCCCACCCCTTACCCTACCCCCAGTGACATCACTCGTAGAAGAAGTGCAAAAAAGGTGGAGCTCAAGCTTAGGCTCCCCCTATCTGGAGCTCACCTCTCCTCGAATGGCTCTGCAGCGAGCACCACTTGGTCTTTTCAGAGTTAAAAGTAGTTTTTGTGCTAACCATCGCGATGACGTGACATTTCAATTATACACACTGTTTCTATTTCTGCGACACATGAGTAAGTTGCGTTGAATGTTTTGTGAAATTGTGAGGGCACGGTGTGAGGCACTTGACCAAACAGTGCACACAGCTACCTCCTGACCAATCAGAGCACCCCGGGCCATCCGGCCGATCAAGAGAGCACATCAGCTTTTAGATTAATCAGCGCACGTACGGCCCACGAAGAACACATCAGCTCAGTTGTTTGGTTTATGATAATTATTCTGCCCAATTACATTTGGTCCCTTAAAAGGTGGGAGGCATATGCAAACTGATGTAATTCCTACTGCGTTTACCTGATTTGGATGTAAATACCCTCCTATTAAAGCTGACAGTCTGCAGTTAAAGCACATCTTGTTCGTTTAAATTTAAATCCATGTGTTGGTGTATAGAGCCAAAAATGTTAGAATTGTGTTAATATTCAAATATTTATGAACCTAACTGTATTCTGGATTTATGGATGGGCCCCAAAATAGACAATTAATTGCCAATGCTAAATTTTATGAAAAATTGCATAATCACGCTTATTTCTTACTGAATTAATCATCCTCCAAATTTCATAATAGTGAGAGCTCTGTGCGCGTATGTTTCACCTGTGCTTCCCCCAGGCCTAGCTCAATGTCCTTCAGGTCCTCCAGCAGCAGTGTGGATTTCTCCTGCACTCTTGTTTCACCTGTGCTTCTCCCAGGCCCAGCTCAATGTCCTCCAGGTCCTCCAGCAGCAGTGTGGATTTCTCCTGCACTCTTGTTTTACCTGTGCTTCTCCCAGGCCCAGCTCAATGTCCTCCAGCAGCAGTGTGGATTTCTGGTTGACTGCAGTCCAGCATGGTGTTGAGGAGTTGAGCATGTTCCGTCTCCAAACACTGTGTCACTGCTTTAGTGTTGTAGTCAGCACGATATCATCCTGCATCATCCACTCTAGAGCCTCGTGATAAGGGTAAACCATGGTGGACATCAACACCCTAAAAAACACACACCTGCTAAGAAAAAAAAAAAAACACAAACCCATCAACGTCATGCCATCTTACAGAGCTCACCATAAATGAACTGAACTACTTTGAGCTCAACATAACAATAAAACTTTAACAAGAAGTTTGAAAAAAAAAAGGATGAATAAATGATTACTGTATTTTCATTTTGGGGAAATTTTTCATTTTAAACTGTCCCTTTAACCCTTGTGTACAGTTCAAATTAACTAGCCTTTCATTAGGTTTCATTAGGTTTTTGTCTCATCGACTTCCACTATAACCACACTATTTGATTGCAAAGTAGAACTGCACGATATTGGAAAAATCTGACATTTAGTTTTTCTGCGATAAATATTGCAACATGTTTGCTAAAAAACTTGAAAATTACTATTTGGAAAGAATTTATAAAATTAAATTGATTGGGGTATTTCTGTAGGGAAGTTAATTATAGGTAAATTGTAATACACAAATTACAAGCATATAGAAAAGAGCAAAGGTAAGTGACGGATAAGTGTGATAAACAGTGTTTTATGGATTTCAGGGCAGTCAAATAGTATTCAGATACAGGGTTTTAAAAAAAATCTAATGTAAAATAACATTACAACCATGTACTGTATAAATAATGCAGTAAAATACAAGGTTACAAATGGTAAACTTTCTTGTGACTTTCAACTTGAGCAAAAAAATTCATGTAAGGTGAAAAAGATCCCTTGTAGCAAAGAATTCTGGCCCAGATTTGGCATTAAGCTGGGACAGCAGGCATTCATCCGGCACTGGCATACAGCATGTGGGCCAACCATGGCCTGGGTTTGGCAGAGGTGGCACCGTCTATAATGCGGCACACAAGATTTGGGCCAGATGTAAAACGTAGTATTTGGCCCAGATTTAAAAAATTGATTGTGGGCCACGTGAGTTTGGCCAGTCTTGACCCACATTTAAAATACATTAAAATAATTTTTGATTAAATAAATCAATTCTACCAATCAGGTCACTGAGAAAAAACAAGGCCCATAGTGTGCCTAAAGCGCAATGCTTCATGGGTTTATCAATTTCATTGCAATCGTGACACACCAACCTTACTGGCCCAGTTCAGGCCCAGTTATGAGTTATTAACTTGGCTGAGACTTGGCGCAGATATGGTCTGTGTTTGGCCCTTGTCTAGAAGCCAGATTTGGTCCAGTCATGTACCGTAATTCACTGCAGCATGTGGGCCAAGCAAAACCTGATTGTGTGGGCCAGAGCTGGGCCAGAGAAATTTTGCTATGTGGGATCCAGCGAGTAAACTAGAGAGTGACATGCTGCTAGGCATTTGGTGTGAATCCAACACTACAGGTCATCAACACTGTGTATTTCAAACAGCAGTGTGTATTTGATATGTCTCCACTGTTGGTTGTAATACTAAAAAGTTAATCCAAATGTGCTGCGTAGTAGGGCTGCACAATACACGGTTTCAGCATCGATATCGGAATGTGCACATCCGCAATAGTCAAAACGCAGGATCTGCTATGTCACATCGGGATTATGGTGGAGTAGGAGTTAAAAACATCCATGCCTGTGCAGTTATTGCAAAGTTTAACGAGAAAGTTATTAAAAAAAAAAGTATCAATTGTTTTAAGGGCTGTGAGGGTGTACCCATTTCAAATGAGTTTAAAGCATTCAGGCACAGACAATTAACATTTTACTAACTTCAAGAAAGAGCAATTGTATTTAGGAACAGTATAAATATGCAATGAATAATAAATGTTGTTTATTTCTCATTTCATTATTCAAATTGTTTTACCCAAATACTATTAGACTTCAAGAAAAACCATAAAGCATTTTTTTTATTTGTAGCTTTTGCTTTAATGCATTTATCATGTGATTTGGACATTTTATCCCGGTGCGCTCCACTAAAAAATCATCCTATTGTCAACAGAAATTATCCTGAAATTATTAATTCTTTCCAAATAAAGCTTTTCATTTCATCTGTTAAAACTATACTTAATATATACTTATACTATATATATATATATATATATATATATATATATATATCGTAGCAAAAAAATGTTGCAATGTCAGTTTTTTCCAGTATCGTGCAGCCCTACATAGTACATTGCAAAAATCGAACATTGCAATATTTTTTATTCTTCAAAAAATATTCACAAAATATTCCATCAGATGACATGAATATCTCTACTTTGAAAGAATGAATCCTTTTCGACTGATTGGCATGATTCTGTGGAGAAGTGCATCTGCATAAAATATAATAAACTATCTACAAGGACAGATCAATGAAACAAAAAACATACAATTGAAATAACGGTTTATCGTTTTCAATTTAATTACCGAAGACGACAGAAATGAGGTGTGAGGGACAGGTCTCCTGCAAGTTCCATCATGGACACAGAACAAAATTCATTATTCTTTTTTGTCACGAAGTACAGCGATAAGCAGCCCATAGTCACATCTGCTATACATTTTAAGGAGTGTAAATACTGCAGGTATGACAGAGTTAAATGTGATTAGATGTTCAGATGAAGAAAGAAAATGACGAAAAATGTATTGATCACGTTAAAATCACAGTTAATGTATGGATTTCTTACATTATTTGGATTACTGGGAGCAGGAAAGAGACAAGCTGCACTCGTAATAGTATCCTCATAATATCGTTTAATTAAAATAAATGATCAACAATAAATCTGTTTGGACATCCTTTACATGTAAAGACATTGTCTACACACAATATGAATTCCTAATTAGAAAAGTACTACAAACTATGAAATACTATTCATGAAAATACTTTAATAACACACAAATTCAAATGTTTTTATTTTATTTTTTTATTCACAAACTGAAACATTTACATTACATTACATGCCAGGGATCAAAACAGAAATGTATCTTTTAAACAGATTCACAGTTTTTACAGAAAAAAAATCAAAGACATATAAAGATTTAGATCTTCAAGAAAAATCTGAAAGAAAGGTTTATGCTTACAAAATTTACACTTGTGTATAAAATATTTGGCCAAAAATATAATAAGATTAAATAAATAAAAAGCATCAGGATGTTCATTTTGATGATTATATCCTAAAATAACATTTTCATATTTTAACATAACATCAGGAATTATACCACTAAATATACCTAATAATTTTTTCCAAAAAATGTTGGTATATTCACAATTCCAAAAAAGATGAGACAGATCTTCAGTTTGGTGCTCAAAACCAGCTCAGCTCGATGACGTATAATGTCTCCGACACTGCCTGTAGTCCCATTTAGCAACTTGATAGCAACCGTCTTTTTAAAGAAGCGTAACCGATTTAAAAACTCAAGAGTGTGGTGAAACTGGTGTGTTTTATGTCGTAGAAAAAAAAGTGAAATTATATTGAGTTTGTGTTAGCCACGCACCTTATTTAAACGATTTAACTGAAATCCCACTGAAAAAAAAACATTGACTTTGGGACGAGGGAACCGGAACTGCTAAAATGCTAAGTCGCTTCTGGGTTTTTGCATACAAATTGACGTCATAGTTCCCAAATCTTAGAATTACAATAAAACACCACTAGGTGGCACACATGTATTTCATCAAAGTTAAAACCATCCCGTCTGCATTTTTTTCACATTCACGATCAATTTTATAGTGGTTGTTTTGTTGGTGATACTTTAATACTACAAGTACTCTCAGAAATTCGCCATAATCTCTTCATGTTTAAGTCAAGATAACAACAAAGTGTGTTTTCTGAAGTCTCACCGCTGCACAAAGAATCTTACAGAAACTGAACTTTTTAAGTCCCGCCTCCTCAGTATGGCTCTAGTTTCTCATTGGTAATTTCCCCTGAAACACTCCCACCTTATTGGCTGTTTAATGTGTCTGTTTGCGTTCCTGCACAGCAGATGAACTTCGCTGAAGCCGATTTTTAACAACGGTGCTGCTCGATGAGCGATATTGGAAACTGATCAACCCTGGCATGGCACCCACAACGGTGAGAATCTGCTCTTTATAACGTTCATACTTTGGGATACACAGCAGAAAAGATTAATATGACAGGAGTAGATGCAGATTGTTTGAATAGTTAATGTTTTTGTAGTTTTAAATCGCCGACAGTTTTGACAGCAACTGTTTAAACCAGTCTAAATCAATGCAACGCACACAAATTCTCCATGAACGGGGTTTGTTAAGTTATATGAGCTGTAAAGTTATATGAAAAACGTAAACCCTAAAACTTAGTCGAGACATCGGTTATAAAACGTAAAACAGCTGCAATTTTCGTTGATGTGGATAACTGTTAAAGACTCAAAACGTAAAGAACTGTCCACAGCACAGACATGCATCGTTTATACTATAGGCATCATATGTTCTCTTCTTCCCGAGTCAGATGAAGCCTAAAAAAAAAAAGCTGCCAGAACATATATGATGCCCAAAACTGCAGTCTAGATAGCACACTGACGCTAGATTCTGAGTATGTATATCTTTTATCAAAGATAATAGATTTTTAAAGTTTAAAAGCAAATATATTTTGACTTATTCAAGAAATATATCATATTAGCTGGCATTAGGTTGGATAGATGTTGTGTCATATTATGTTTAAATTTCATAATTGTATGAAGTGGAGTACAAATTATAGTTTTAATAGAAATCTTAAAAATGTACTAATAAAATAAAACTATTTGAATATTAAAAATAATTTTTTAACGAACTGAAATATACATATTTTTTGTGATATCAATCTCAAATTTGAAACAATTTGATAAGAATAAAAATATGTGTCAAATCAAAATTGCAATAAAAAAACTAAAGTTTTATTATTTACTTATTTATTAATTTGAAAATCTGCCAAGTGTGTACACTTTTAAAAGATAATCTAACAAATTTAGGATCTGTGACATAAATGAATTAATACTACTGCATACACACAATTTAACACCACAAACTCGCCATACAAAATATAGTCGTAGTAGTGTATATAACAGTATATTTGCATGCATAAAATAAATCGATTAGTAAATTTGTCAGTGCCATATGAAGTACACCATATACAGTGCCTAGCATAATTGAGTACACTCCATATGAAAATGAATATTTTTATCAATATCTCAGTGAATATAGCCAATGCATTTTGGTGCATTTAAACAAAACAGATTTATTAAACAGATATATTTATTCAAATCTTATTTTAGTCACTTAACATATTTAGAAATTGAAAGATAATACAATTAAATTCAAGCAAAACATTGCAAAAAACATGACAACCCACTAAATTTCAGCTGAATTTTTCAATTTTTTTGCTTCTCTTGATTTTTCCTTTTTTTTAAAAATATTTTCTCTAACATACACATTTGGGTTTGCTAGTTTTGGACTGCTTTCGTAAGTTAGTTTGTTAGATAGCCTCCAGACTTGACTTCAGTACTGGCTAATCTAATGTTTATGCACACATATAATATTGTATAGCTTCCTATAAAAATATTAATTTAAAAGATATATTTGTGAGGGGTGCACTTATTTATGCTGAGCACTGTATATGCTTAAAAACGTAAAATATTACACTTCATACTCTCTACAGCTGATCACATCAACAGGCAGTTGACATTGGGCCATCTGTTTTTGTAGCTCGCGAGCAGCTTGAGGATTAAATTAATTACCCTCTGACATGTCGGCTGAGCTTGGACCCAAACACTGAATGCTTCAGTCTAGCTCCGGGGAGAAATGCTGGGTAATTTAAGAAGCATTTGGGGCTGACGCTGAATGCTGTAGCACCCTTTAATTCAAAAAGGCATGGGCATCGTTAAAGAGGAAATGCCAAATTAGTCAACCATGAAGAACACCATTGGCTAATCCTCATGTGCACATGAAAGAAGGCTTTTGTAGATTTATAAAGATATCTAACAATGTTTTGACCTTTTTTTATCATCACCTTAGAATGTTTCATTTTTAAGCTTTAGGGGAGTCCAGCTCACACACATGTGGTTTTGTTTGATTAAAATTAACTTTATTTCTCTGTCAGTGTGTTTAATCTTGATTAAGTGTAAAGCTGCGGTCACACTGGGCTTTTCCGCCCATAGACTTCCATTCATACGCAGGCGAATACGTCAGACCGGAAACGCAGGGTCATTGCATTGAGTTTCGCTGTTTGCTGCGGTGCAAAGTTCAAGCTTGGGGAACTCTGACCTGCGAAATCGCATCGGATCAAAACATGACCTCTCTGGACAGAAATTTAAAATATAGTGCTATCGCTCGCTTTTTTAATGCCTAATAATCTTGTTTATTCCCGCCCCTTTTCCCAGCCCCGCACGACGAATTTCGCACACACAAACTCTAGTGCAGGGGTCACCAACATGGTGCCCACAAGCACCAGGTAGCCAACGAGGATTACATGAGTTGCCCACAGGCCTGTTCTAAAAATAGCTCACCATTGCACCATATACCAGTAACCTGAATCTAGTATTTTTTGAAGCTATTCTTTTTAAATCACACCTGCATTGGTGTAAAATTTGTTAATGACATTAAGGTATATATATATATATATATATATATATATATATATATAAAAAGCTAAAACTATTTCAGACAAATAAAGTGTTGTATATTGATATTTCTGTTTCTTACCTTGTTAAATCATTATTGTGAGAAATCATTACCATGATCAGTGTCTTCACAAAGATGAATATCATTAATCATTAATAATAACAACATATAATTAAAAGTAAATTGAGAAAAAATGTTATTTAAGAAGTGTGTATCAAACTGGTAGCCCTTCACAATAATTGGTACCCAAGAAGTAGCTCTCAGTTTCAAAAAGGCTGGTGACCCCTGCTCTAGTGTGACCGTAGCTTGAATCTGCACAGCAAATGAGTGGACCAACTGTTCTAATGATGTGGTTTGACTTAAATATGAACCAAAACATGACATGACATCAGAAGATGCCACCAAGAAGCAAAACTATGGCTGTGTCCGAAATCGCATACTTCCATACTATATAGTAGAGTTGTCGCGATACCATTAATTAATCTTACAATTCTATACCAGCTGTAGTATCACAATACCAAGTAGTGTTGCGATACTATAATTCATAACCCAAATTATAAAGAAAATTGTCAGAGATACTATAGTTTATGTTATAATAGGCCTACTTGAATTTAATTCCTAATTTCCTTCAGGGGCGATGCAGTGGTGCAGTAGGTAGTGCTGTTGCGTCACAGCTAAAAGGTCACTGGTTCGAGCCTCAGCTGGGTCAGTTGGCGTTTCTGTGTGGAGTTTGCATGTTCTCCCCGCGTCCGCGTGGGTTTTCTCCGGGTGCTCGGGTTTCCCCCTGCAGTCCAAAGACATGTGGAACAGGTGAATTGGGTAGGCTAAATTGTCCATAGTGTATGAGTGTGTATGAATGTTCCCCAGAGATGGGTTGCAGCTGGAAGGGCATTCGCTGCGTAAAACATGTGCTGGATAAGTTGGCGGTTCATTCCGCTGTGGCGACCCCAGATTAATAAAGGGACTAAGCCGACAAGAAAATGAGTAAATTTCCTTCAGGCCAAAAAGTATTATTTGCACCTCACTTCACCAAAAATTTGTTCATTTTTCTTTTTTTTTGTTTATTTTGTAAATAGCTGACCAACATAAATACTTTAAAATAAAGATACAAATTATACCAAATAAAATTTATTACAAAAGAGCATTTTTCCAACAAAATTAGGCTATATAAAGTTGTCAGAAATTGTTTCAATGTTTCCTGTTGCTATTTTGTGTTTTTCATCTTTTTTTTTCAGTCTTATCAGGCAACAATCCAAAGCAATTCAAAATTTCACTTTGTGATTTGTTCTTTTAAAGAGATTGTTGCGGTCACTAATTAATCATATTAACAGGAACAGAAATTAATGCATTTAAATGTGCGATTAAACTGAAGTGTTAGAGAACGTGCAATTGGCTACCATGAAATGCGTGAATTCTACAGTTTTGCAACCTTAAAGGGCTCTACAGACTATTAAAATAAAAAGGTTTATTGTTGCACAAATGTGTGAGCATTTTAGTGTCTTTTTCACATGCAACATTTATCTATTGTAGATAAAACCATTAATGACAATAATACTGTTTACAGACTACAGTGACACCACCAGTATTTTGGAGGCACAGGGCCCTATCATACACCTAGCGCAAGGCGCGACGCAATAGTTGTTTACTAGTTTCAGCTTGGCGCAAGAGTCGTTTTGATGTTTAGCACCACACTGTTTAAATAGCAAATGCTGTTGCGCTCATATGTGGGCCGTAGGCGTTCTAGTCTAAAAAAAAAGGTGGGCGTGTTGAGGCGCATTCCTGGTGCGTTGCTGTTTTAAGGAACTATAATAGACTGTTCAATAGACCAGATCAAAGCTGGTCTACAGTCTAGCACAGAGCGCGTTGGTTAGCCTCGCTTGTATTAACACTGCTAAATACACACAGGATGTAAAGCAATACACACATATATTTACATATGAAAAAGAATTAAAGGGTTAAAATATTACAAAAATTATTATTTTCTAGCCTACGTAAATATAAAAACCATAGTTTCATGCCTTCTTCATCTCAGGGGGCTTTTTCAATTTATTCATGACAATTTGCTTTTTTATAATGTTATTATTAGCAGTATTATTTATTATATGCATATTTATATTTGTTTTATTAAAAACAAGCTTGGATTTGTCCACCTGTCAGGTTTTAGATTATGGGTTGCAGCTGGAAGGGCATCCGCTGCACAAAACGTATGCTGGATAAGTTGGCGGTTCATTCTGCTGTGGTGACCCCAGATTAATAAAGGGACCAAGCCAAAAAGAAAATGGATGTATGCAAATACAACAAACAAGGCTAGCACTACAAACAGCATTGTTTTGGTTGTTCAGTAAGTTCTGTCGCAAAAGTTACATCATAAAGACAATATTGTTTGTTGTGTTTTAGTGTTAAAAATGACAGTATGAATGCTAAGCTAACAACATAAATGTACAGTATCATTTTTATTTTTGGTCCAAACCAAAAAGATCTAAACTTTTAAGTATGAAAAACAGCCGATTGATTTCTGATTTTTACACTTCTATAGATCTTAAAGACTACTTTTAAACTGATTTTATTTAGATTTTATAAAAGATGAACAAAGTTGTGAAATTAGCATGTCTATAAAGTGAGGCTTTGCGCAACAACACGCTTCAAATTAGCGCCGTTTGAATGGGTAAACCACAAACCATGAAAGCTTTCTTGCATACTCGTGGCCTCAGATCCACTTTTCAGGCAATTCCCATTGGTGCACAATACATCAAAAGAAACCTGACTACTATTAATAAGGATACATTCTAGCTAAAGGTTACACAACGAAGATGAAGGAGAGAATCTGAATTTGTGCACTCAATAGTACAGTAATATGATTTATGAGCGCTCTGACGTGGAAGACAAGCTTCCAGATTTCAGCACAGTAGCTGGACGTCTTCCGGCTCTGGGCTTATTATGTAACACTCCGTGACTCCTCCGTGATTTCATGATGTGGAAAGTTAGGCTAGCAACCACACAAAATCACAACATGCAGTGCTATTAGACGCAAGTGGGGTCAGAGCAAAAGAAATCAAGATTCAGTTTCAAAAGATTACATCAGTTGAGGCTTGCAGCGCAGGGTCAAAGCATTTATAGTATAAGAAAAACTGAAATCCGATGCTTTCAGGGTTGTCCTTGTGACATTACTCAGTATTTGGAAGCAAGTCCTGAGAGAGGAATTTCAGTCAATCTCACTCTGCCAACAAGAAGTCTCTAACTGTCTATCAATAGTAAAATGGTTTGCTTTAGCTTTGATGTATGACAGAGACTTTGACTCATAAAGATGAAATGGAAAAAATGACTTTTTCTTTTGCTCTGAACTGCACAGAAAGAAAGCCAACATGAGAATGGGAGTTACAGAGAACGCAGCTTTGATCTACTGTATAGCCATTATGTTCTTGGACAAGCCTGTTAACCCTTTGATTGCTCCAGGAGGGCTTGCTTGAAGTAAATTGCCTTTGATGAGGCATAAATGGCTGCTAACAAACCGGTCAGAGACAGAGAGAGACCTAGCAATGTGTTGGGTTTTAATTGATGCTTTCCGTTTAGTGCTATGTATGTATAAAAGAATATAGCATTGAAAACGTATCATTTTGTCTGTCATTATCTTCTATGGTGATATTTTGAAGGGGATCTTTTAAGCTAAAACCATTTTATAAAGTTTTTAAACACAGTTTTGTGTCAACAGTGTGTGAATATAGCCAACTTCTAATTTATGATACAAAAAATGAATGCTGCGGAAACAGTTTGATTTACATTCTCACTTGAAACCAGAGGGTAAAAGCCCCGCCCATTAGTGGCGATCTCTCCCTCATTATAATAGGAGGTTAGTCCTGTTTTTAAATCTGCCACAATTGACCTTATTCTAAAATGCGGAAGTGCGCCTGTTTTCGCAATTGTCTTAGAACTTCCATTTCATACACCTATGGGAGAAATGACAAGGAATAATAACAGCAAAAAACGGTCAAACTACTTGCACTACAAACAAATGTTTGCATGACTATACAGACCAAGTAGAATAATATAACAAGGAAATATCAGTTTGCAACATCAAACAGCGAAACGAGCAGTTTTTAATGTCTAAAAATGAATGGAAGTGAATGAGACCGGAAGTCTCGTGCCAAAAAGATTCAAATGGCAGCGCCTGCTCGTCTGCGGAGAATAAGGTCAATATGCTGACACAAAGACATTTGCAGCTCTGCCCTTTTTTTAAAAAAAAAGAGCACAATCTCATTTGAACTTTAAGCGACAGTCACCAAAACTGCACAATTAAGGTTGGTTTGTACTTTAAGGCACCTGCCTTGTGTGTAGTCATGCAATTATACTTCTATGAGCTATTTGTGTTGCTCTGCAATAACACTTCGAAAGTGCTAGCTAGCAGTCGGCTTTTATGTTCCTGTGTGTGGAGTTTCTTCGTGGGTGTTTTGTTTTTTCTAAACGCTACCTTAAATGTGCAATTAGCTAAAACTCACTCATTCAGAGGCGGGAACTGGCAGACGTGCATCAACTTTAATCATAAGGTAAACACTAGGGCTGTGCGATTAATCGAAAAGGAATCTCAATTGCAATTTGAAACATTGCGATTAGCTAATCGCAAGAGGCTGTGATATGAAATTTATATGTATTATTTAATTTTCCCTTCCCAGAGCAAATGCATGACTCGTCTGTGTGTGACAGACTTACTAGCCAATTGAGTGAGCACACTTTCACTTTCATTCTGCCCAATCAGAATTGGTGCGCGTCAGTGTTAGCTTCAGCATAAGCGACTGCACAAAGGCTGTGCCAGACTATAAGTGTGCACTTGACGCAGAAGTATAAATTTGCCTTTACGATCAAAGTATAAAAAGGGCAGATTCAAAGAGCTATAAAAGTAGTGTGTAGTTTTGTGTTATTTGTTTGTTTATCTGAAACTTCACATACACACTTTAGAGACTTATTATACATCTTGTGAAAAGGGGCATAATAAGTCATTTTTAAACTCTACATTTTTCACTCTAAAATGCTTGGTTGTTGTAACCCAAATATAGACAAATTTAATGTTATTTTTGTCAATTCAGTTAAAATGACTTTTAACCCAAAGGCTGGGTTTTTTCCATATTTGACTCAAGATTATATCGACCCTGCATCATTTAGAGTGTAATATTTCACGCAATACAAAAGTTTGCTGAACATAAGATACATCTTAACAAATGTAAAATACTTTCGTGTGGGTATGTGAGAAATATTCCTGGAATTGGTTTTCATGTGTGTGCAGTGGTAATAAAAACATTTGCCTGCCTCATCTATACCGAAGCACTTGTCGTACCATATACCAATCAAAAGTCTTGTCGTCAATCCCAGAACAACAAATAATAACATGACTTCTAATTGATCATTTGGAAAAGTGGCAGAAGGTAGATTTTTCTGATGTATCATCTATTGAACTGCATCCCAATCATCATATATACTGCAGAAGACCTGTTGGAACCTGCATGACCCAAGATTCATAGAAATCAGTCAAGTTGTGTGAAGAAAAAATCATGGTTTGGGGTTACATTCAGTGTTTGGACGTGTGAGAGATCTGCAGAGTGGATGGCAACATCAACAGCCTGAGGTATCAAGACATTTGTGCTGCCCATTACATTACAAACCATAGGAGAGGGCAAATTCTTCAGCAGGATAGCGCTCCTTCTCATACTTCAGCCTCCACATCTAGTTCCTGAAAGCAAAGATCAAGGTACTCCAGGACTGGCCAGCTCAGCCACCAGACATGAACACTATTGAGCATGTCTGGGGTATGATGGAAGAGGCATTGGCAATAAATCCGAAGAAGTTATTTGAGTCATAGCAGAGATATATGGATGCAGTCCTCCAAGCCTATGGGAGTCATACAGAATATTAATTGTTTCCACTGCACCATGACTATATTTTTTCTATCTTGTAGATTATTTCTGTTAAGTGAAAAGACTTTTGTCTAAGCAAAGTCAGACCTAAAGGCTGATTTATACTTCTGCGTCAAACGCGGGCGTATGCTACGGCGCTGACGCATAGCCCTTCGCCGTGGCCGTCGCCGTCACTGACGTGCACCTCTCAAAAAATGTAACTACACGTCGCAACGATGAGTAGCGTAAGCTCTGTGATTGGTCGGCTTGGTAGCGCTGACGAGTCTGGGCGGGACCGAGAGCCGCGCGAATGGCTCCGGATGGAAAGTTTTGTTTTGTGTTTACCTCATAGTTAAAGTTGTTGCACGTCCGCCGGTTCCTGCCTCAAAATGAGCGAGTTTGAGCCACTTGTACATCCCGGAAGTGTTCAGGAAAAGCAAAAAAGCAGAGAAGAAACTCGACACAGAGGAACATTAACACCTCACTGCCCACTAGCGTTTCGGAAGTGTTAATGCAGACCAACAGAGACAGCGCGCAGAAGTATAAATGCACAGCCACGCGCGTTGCCTGCGCCGTGGGTTACGCTGGTCACTTGACGCAGAAGTATAAACCAGGCTTAAGTGTCCTAATGAAATAATTAAAAATCAGGGCATGATCATATTTTATTTTGGTCAAATTAGTGTAATCTAGAGGCATTTGCCTTTCTTAGCCACTACTGACACCTAATGATCAACTAGAAGTCACATTATTATTTCTTGTTCCTAAAACTTGGATAGGCGACAAGACTTTTGTCTTGTAGTGAATACCAAAATATGATTAAGTGCATCTGTTTACTGTGGGTTTGCACTGTTTATTTAATTATACTGTGCACTGAATAAGCAACACATTGTAGCACATTGAGAACGCAGCAGACTCATGCACTCATGCACTCATTTGGTCTGCAGATGGCAAGGAAAGGCAGGCTTGGATGTTATTTTTTTGACTGCATGTTTTCCAAACAGTTTATTCTAAATTCTGAAATAGCTTTGCTTCAGTTTAATGCGCCCCTTTGCTAAAATGGTCATTAGATTTCCTGATTGCGTTGAAGTTTATTCTTTCATCCACTCATTTGCTTTGCATTATTTGTTCTCTTTTTTTTTTCCAGGAGCCGAGGCTGAATGTGGAGGCTCTGAGTAAGAGAGATGTGCTGCTGCTCTTCAGTGTTCTTGAAGGAGAGCTGGAGGCCAGAGACTTTGTCATACAGGCACTCAAGGTTTGTTCAGTCTCTTCACTGCTGACAATAGTGTTTCTATAGTTTCTTTGTAAGCAGCCATCTATGGTAGCATAGGCATACTGTGCTACTTTTGGTTATTAAAGGGTTCCTATTATGCTCGTTTTATAATACCATGATGTGCACGACAGCAATATTGCATACTAAAGCCAACACTGAATATGTAAAAAGCACAAAAGAAGTTGTTTAAAGAGACAGTTCACACCAAACATTAAAATTCTGCCATTGTTTACTCATCCTGCACTTGTGTCAAATCTCTGTCATTGGGTACATTTACATGGACACCAATACTCAGATTTTAAAGAGCCCATATTATACATGAAATAGGGTCATATCTTGGTTGTAAGGGTCTCCAACAACAGTTTAATATGCATGCAAGGTCAAAAAACACTTTCATGGTCTTATAATCTGCATTTATTTTTACCTAATTATCCCAGCGACTCCCGTATGAATCGTCCAGTGATTCATTTGTTCCCAAACCCCTCCTTAGCGCGAAGCTAATCTGCGCTGATTGGACCGATGACAGTCTGTCGCAATTGGTCGACTGCCTTCAGTCAGAGAGGGAAATGGCCAATAGCTAATCAGCAATTTAAAAAGTAATCACAGTTCATACACGCTCGACAGTGTAGGCGTGGATATTAGCTGCCACACTATGGCGAGTGGATAGTGCCACGGATAACCGAACGAAGGAGACACACACAAAAACACACACACACCTCCGGACGACAACGCTCCCGCTTCCGCCCGCACCCGCCAGGTTTTAGCCTGAGAACCCGCTCCGTTTTCTGCCCGCCGCGCCCGATCCCGCTAGAGCGGAGGAGAACACAACCAAAAATCACCCAGTATACAGTCCAGACAGCCAAGCTGTCTGTATAAACACACACACACAGCACCAAGCACACAAAGCTCGTTCTCTCTCTCTCTCTCTCTCTCTCTCTCTCTCTCTCTCTCTCTCTCTCTCTCTCTCTCTCTCTCTCTCTCTCTCTCTCTCTCTCTCTCTCTCTCTCTCTCTCTCTCTCACATACGCGCGCGTGCGCACTAACACACACACAAGCACCAAGCAGACTCTCTCTTTCTAATTCGCATAGCAATATCCGTGATATTGCTAGACAGCCCGCTCCCGTCCCAAATTAAACCCGTTACCGACCGCTCCCGCGATTTATTCGGAAATTTATTCCCGCGGCTGTCCCCGCGCCAGATTTCTGCGGCGCGGGAATAAATTTCCGAATAAATCGCGGGAGCAGAACTCTAGCACGGAGCTCCATAAACAAAGCAGCACACGTCGCGTTTTTAACGTGACTTTGCACGCGATAAGAGAATATATCCAGTTAACCTGATACAGTACACGCGGTTACAAGTAACAAATCACAACTAAATACATTTGCAAGATAGAGTAAACGAGGCAACAACTTTAACCGCACGTACTTACACTTGAGAAATGGAAGAAACCCATCCTGACGTCCATCAGTTACTCTTTACTGATCCTTCCTTTAACAAACGCTGATGAAGTATTCTGTGTAGCATGTAGCTTCCAGAAGTTTCCAACTGCTTGGTTATAATGCTGAGGTTTCATCTTTGGGTAGAGACTCAATATAATATCCATCTGCAGTGTGACTTCAATCGACCGGCATGTTTGTGTGCGTGTGTTTGTGGGTGTGCGTGTGTTTGTGGGTGTGTGTGTGTCTGGGTTTCTGCGTCAGAGGGCGGGGCCTCAGGTTTGAAATCTCCCGGGTTTGCGTGTGCACGTGAATAACTTGGTTTCGTTCGTACGTCATGGCGAAACACCTAATGAATCGGTATCAAGGCGACTCGTTTGAAGCACTATGAGTCGACTCTTCTATAGATGAATCAACCGTTTTAAACACTGTATTCTTACAGATTTAAGCCTTAGCTGGATACTTCACTTCACTTAGAGCTGTGTTACAAACTACATGGAGGGGAATTTTCAAAAACCCATAATATGGGCTCTTTAATACGATTAAGACATTAATTAAGAGTCTACCATAAAAACAGTCATTTTTGATTATGTTAATCTGACTAAAGTTATAATCGAACTAAGTGAAGTTCCACAAACTAATTTCGAGAGAAGCATGTGATATGATTGAGCATGACTGGCTTCTCATCTGTAATCAGTAATAATCCAATCAGAGTGATCCAACTTACTATAAATGGATCGTTTCCTCCCTACTACTTTTAACTTGGAAGAATCCCCCCACCACCCCATCTCCTCCTATTCCTCCCTTTTCTAAGGGGGAGCTCTTGAGACCTACCTGATCTTGGATCCTCTTATATGCTTATTGACTGGGCGAGAGCCTTGGGCTCAAGTATTTCCGAGCTCAGGGTTCTCTCCCGGGCAGGGCCGAAGCAAGCTGAACTGCCGCTCTAGGCAAAGGACGGTCATGCCGCCCTCAATTCCAACCCTCTCTATTCTGCCACCTTAGACGCAGATATAACGGAGGGCGCGGGTGGTGAGGGTAGTGTCGGGGATGCCGCCCTCTCTATTCTATCGCCCTAGACGCAGATATGACTAAGGGCGCTGGTGGTGAGGGCATTGTCGCGGACGCCGCCCTCTCTATTCTATCACCCTAGATGCGGTTATAACTAAGGGCGCTGGTGGTGAGGGTAGTGTCGCGGATGCCGGCCTCTCTATTCTATCGCACTAGACGCGGATATAACTGAGGGCGCGAGTGGTGAAGGTAGTGTCGCGGACACCGCCCTCTCTATTAGTCGCGAATATAACTGAGGGCGTGGATAGTGAGGGTTGTGTCGCGGATGCCGCCCTCTCTATCCTGCCGCCCTAGACGCGAACTGAGGGTGCAGGTGATGAGGGCAGTGTCGCAGACACCGCCCTCTCCTAGTCACGGATATAACTGAGGGCGCAGGTGGTGAGGGTAGAGTCGGGGACGCCGCCCTCTCTATCCTGCCGCCCTAGACGCGAACTGAGGGTGCAGGTGATGAGGGTAGTGTTGCAGACACCGCCCTCTCCTAGTCACGGATATAACTTAGGGCGCAGGTGGTGAGGGTAGAGTCGGGGACACCGCCCTCTCTATTCTGCCGCCCTAGGCGGCCGCCTAGGTCACCTCTATGGACGCGCCGGCTCTGCTCCCGGGACAGCATGCCAAACCTGCTATAAACACCAAGCATATCGAAGTGGGAACTCTTGAAACAGAAATTGAAGTCATGTGAAGTATGCATATTTTAGTCGCATTATTGAAGTGCAGTACACACATTTAAACACCTTAATCAAACTATTATAACTATTATTAACTATTATAACTGCACAGCAGTTGTGAGGAGTTTGATGAAAAAAGATGAGAATGGCTTCCAGCTAGAGAGCACATTTTTGGTGTGACTGAGAAATGATTCATTCATTTATTTTATTTTCGGCTCAGTCCCTTTATTAATCTGAGGTTGTCAGAGCATAATGAACCGCCAACTTATCCAGCATATGTTTTACGCAGGGTTAGGTTCGAGGTTAGGTTCAATTCTCGGTTGTAGGTAATGGTTTTGGTACAGTTCAATGTATGATATAATGTAAACATTACCAAATGTTTGCATTCCAAAGCATAACCAATTGAATGCTTGACGTCAGACAGGTTTATTATTATGATAAACATAATTATTGGTCAAAGTTAGCGCCAATAGCCAAGTGATTAGAGCTAACACATAGCAATGAGGTGTTAACTGTGACGCGAGTTTGAATCTTGGCTCGAGATCCTTTGCCGATCCTTCCCCTCTTTCTGCTCCCTACACTTTCCTGTCTGTATTTTGCACTAGCCTGTCCATTAAAGGTGAAATTAATAATTATTCGTTATAACCATTGTGAAGCAGGACTTACTGTGCACATTGTAACTTTTATTTACCTAATCAGATGAGGCACATCTTAGATCTAGTGTTCTGGTTCATGGCCTCGGGTGCTGACTTACGGCTTACGACACTTTCCTTTTCACATGAAAATTGATTGGAGAAAGAAGTGGGCCCAGCAGTGAAAAAGAACCCCTGCTTTAAAGGAAAGAACAGTTAAGGTTGTGTGGTTATTTATGTCACCACATGTCATTCCAAATTCCCACATATTGTTATTTTGTTCTGCTATATTTTGGGACAGTCATTATACTGCTCTTACTCTGGATAGAAAGAGCTGTAAATAAACCATAAAAGTGGTTGAGAAGACTTTTGCACTTTATGTCCAAGTCCTCCATGTAGGCGGACGAGCAGAGAGAAAATGAATGTGAGCATCACTGAAATTCCTGTGTCTTTTCTGTGTCATGTACAATTCATTCAGGAGCATCTGGACTTATTTAACCGTTCAAGATGTTTAGATGTTCAGCTACTTACAGTGCTGCTGCTGCATGTGTATCTGAGCAGCTGTGACCCAAGACATCAAACATCAGTCGCAGTTTACACCATTAGGGAGGCAACTCCCTGTGTGACTGGCAGCTTTTATGGTCTTGTGGTGTGTTTATCTTGGTATTTTTCGGATGCTTCCCATCATACACACTGAACTGAGACACTTGAATAAGACCTGGAGCATCTCAAAGAACTACATAAACAAGCCCAGATTGTCCTGAATACATTTAGTAATGGCCTAGATCTCATACTAGTCAACATATTAAACATTTAATCATGTTCTATACTCATGAATATCCTGTTCAAAGTAATATCTTATCTTATATCAAACTAGAAAAGTAAAGTTCATAGATAAACTTTATAGTGTCTTGAGAAAAGGCCAGTCTGAAAGTTTGAAGTAGCTTTAAAGTTTAAATAATTGATCTAGTTCAAGAAGTTTAAAACAGTTATAACTACATATAGGTAAGCATGTTTCTAGAATGGATTAGCATGTTTCTTCCTAGGCGGGTAGTAAGGCGTTGCTAGGTGGTTCCTAGGGTTTTCCAGGAAGTTGTTAAGGTTTTCCTATGCTGTTGCTAGGTAATGTTCTGAGAAATTGCTAAGGCGCTGCTATGGTGTTTTATGTGGTTGCTAAG